TGATTGCGAAATCAGAGTTCTCCTCGCATCGATTCTGCTTTAATTCTTCGCTGTAAGTACAGGTGTATCCGCTATTTTGACCATGAATCTCTCGACAGTGGTCATCAGTGAAGCACTCTGTCGTACAGCGAAATGCATAGCTGCTAGAAGTCTGAGAAGTGTCGCATCTCTTGTTTGGAAAACAATCGGCTTGGGTTCGACAAACACCAGTGCCACAAATTCGCGAAACACAAAGCCCCATTTCTAGCCTTTTTCCAGTTTCTGTGTATCTACAGCACCATTCTCCGCTGGAACGGCAATCATCGTTCCAATCACACGCCAAAGAAAAACTCAAGAAAAGCAAACCACTGAAAAGCCACAGAATAACGGACGTAACCTCCATGTTTTTGTTTCGTGTCAGCTGGTCACGCAACGAATTCCTGACGAGGGAGGGGAGGTTCCAAAAGACTTTTGGCGGGGAGGCAGAAACTGGGGAGCATTTTGACGAGGTCCTGTTAGGGTAAAATTTAGGCAAGCGACATGGCCTTGAAACAGAGACACAAGTCTCGAGCCTAGAAAGGACATAAAGATGGGTAAATACCGACAGGGACACGGTCTACTACTCCTCAAAATACGAGACGACCGTATTATTATTTTAACCTCTCGTAGGGCTGGTGGGGGGAGTAATTGCGCCCAGACCCGAATTTTTGGCGGTAAAATATGCAACCAGCCGCTAACTGCGGTGCCCGACGTAAAAAGAACGAAGGCAAGATTTGTTGTTTGACATTCTATTAAAGCCTGAGTCGAGTTTTAGTTATATGCCAACAAACACGAAGAGAAAAGGACAACTGAACACAGAAATAGCGAAAGGGCACAGGGGAAAAGAGAGAGAGCACACGGACGACGAATTATCGAAAACTGAAAAGGGTAAGTCAAGTCTTCACCTACTTAAAATTAAAAATATAGCAACGCGGTGTCGAACAAGCGTGTGCATGCTTTGATTCGTTATAATAATCTGCGCTTCTACATGATTTTTTCTATTAACACTGAGTTCTCTTTGTAAATACAGATATTTTTTCGCATTTCCAGCATTCCTATGAACATACAAATCGACTCTTGGGGTGATAAAGCGGGAAAGGTCTGTTATGTTCTGCACACTTGCTTTTCTATCTACCATTGGTCAAAACCTTCAAGTAAATGAAAAATTATATTTCCAGTTACATCGACATCGTGCTATGAACATGACTGACACTATCAATCACATGATATCCTTCCTCCACTACCCAAAAATTGATCCCCATAAAGTAATGGCAGAGTTTGAGATCTCCTGAGTCTCTGTGGTTACATTATTTCTATGATTTTGCACAACAGTGATCACCTGTGAGGGAATGATTCACTTGATTTAATATGGGATTATAATAATTTCATTATTAAAATGCAGAGGGTGTAGCCTCCAAACACTGTTAATCCTGCAAATATCTCTTATTACTTGATGATATATTAGTGTAACTATTCATCAGCAGGATGCCTGTCACAGCTGGTTTTTTGAAATCATTGGTATTATATAACATAAATTTATGAAGTCGTCAGTATAGCAAATGCTATTCCTTGCCCCAGTAACAGCAAAGTACACGGAAAACAACCTCAAAATAACAAAACCTCTGTATAATGAACAAATCTTGTCAGTCCCTTGGCCCTTCATGTTATAGATTTCCACTGTTTATGGTCAAGAATAAGGCTGCAAAATGCTGGTTGGGAAGGGGGGGGGGCAGACTGGCATATATGGGCTATATAGGTATTTGCTGTCCTAAAGGGTATGGTTTTCAAACAATACCAGTTATCTGCACTGAAGCACACATACCAACTCTGCGGTATGGCAATACCTTACGCATGCGCACAACCATATCACCCGGGCATTGGCAGCCATGGACAGCTGTTTTGCCCTTGTTGGGGCTCATCAGCATGGCATAGCCTTCGGGTTAATGAGCGGGGGTTAACTTGCATATCAAAGACTCTTTTTTGCCAAGGTGAGTGCAAAGCACTCCTTTAAGCACCAGCTCCACTGTAAACAAGTTTTAACTGTTGGTTGGGAATGGCAAAACAGTTCTCCTCCAGCATGCATATGGAGATGGGATCAGAAAAATTGAAAAAAAAAATGACCTGTGTGCCCAAATTTAATTTGAAACAGTTTACTCTGGGAAAGGGACAAATCAGAGAGTTTGGGTCTAGAATAGGGTATCATTTTCAAGAAAACTATCAGTTGGTTGAAAGTTTTAGCCTAGACTAGGGAAACCAGGAATTTGCCACTCAAAAATACAAAAAGATCAATTCAGCAAGTTAAATTTACGAAACTCAGCTTAAAAGCTACTGTAGGATAGGGGGATTTGCAGAGTTTAGTCTAGTATAGGATTGCACAATTCAGCTGAACTAGCTCTGTTATAGGCTAAGGGTTTCAGGGTCTCAGCGGTACATTGCCACCCAAAAATTCGTGAAGTGTTCCAGGACACTGAATACCCCTAATGTGCTGCTCTTGGTTTTGGGTGCAGTATAATCCGTTGTAAGAGAACCTGTTACTTCCTCATCCTCCGCTAGGAGCCATTCTAATGCTAAAGGCAGGCTTTGAAATGTCCAAAATGGAGAGGTGTCCATAAGTAGAACTTCAACTTACATTTGAAGTCCCTTAGTGGCACCACCAAACCATGTGGTCCATGTGAAGAATGACCCAGTTGCTTGGTTGAGAGTCGGGGGGGAGTGGTGATTCATAGATGTAAGGGTGAACACACAAGCTGGGTAAGGGCAAATACCCAGCCGAGTCAATTTGATAATAAGGGGTACAGGAATAGCCCAAAAAAGTGTCTACAACTACTGTCCTTTTGTGAAAAGAAATTCAAACAAATTTAGTTTTTGTACTGTCCCTATTGACTTTGAAAGTCAGAAAGCTGGCACTCCTCGATAAGGAAAAGGCAGATGCTCCAGTTTCAAAATATTTAGTATGGAATATACCATGTCTATGGTTTTAAAATAACTTCTGACCCTCAGTTGCGCCCATTGTTGTGGCCCAGCAACATATATTGCTGGTTAATTTTTCAGAAACTAAGACATTTTCTGACCCATTTTGTCCTCTTTATTCTTGTCAGAGTCCATCAACAGCTTCCTTGTTCAAGTTTTTGCTCGTTCTTTCTTTCTTTGAAATCATGGCAGTACTCAATTGTTTCAAATATTTATGGCCATAAGCAGCACTTATCGAAACTGTTCAGTACTCAGTTGCCAAACTATATACCTGAGCCTAACAAAATAAATCGTACCGGGAAACAGAGTTGCAGAAGCACAAGAATTGTGGGTAGAAACAAAGGGTATTTTAATGCCATTATTGAAATGTTGAAAACCTAATGCCATCCTTTCAGCAACAAAACCTTCAGCAAATAAAAGGAATAAATAATTAGATAAAAACAAAGTTAAGTGTTGCAAAGTTTACAAAGATGTCAACATGAGCTTGAAAATACGTAACTGGCTTATTTTTGTAAGTCCTAAAACCAATGACCCTGGTAAAATAATAGTGAGCTGTACACCCAATAAATATCATTATTATACATTGTACTCACTATCTGTCTTCTCATTGACTAAGTGTCTACAGCTAATTATGGAAATCAACACAATGTACAGATTAGTTAGTGACCTGCTAGCTGATAACTGACTAATCTGTAGGTTGCAAGGGCAATGCATGATTTTCAGTAACAATATCAATTCAGTTTCCTTGCGACGGGTGTGTTTGTTGTTATTTTCTTTAAAACAATGTATAATAAAACAATTATTAGATTCAGTTTCTGTGATATCCTAAATAATCAAGGCCTCAGTAAGTGTTATCAGCCTCTGCCTTCAGTACGACTGATAACACTTACCTCGACGTTGATAATTCCGGATATCACAAAACTCCATCCAATAATTTGCTTATAATGTGTCTGAGAAAGATCTCATTTACTTCCCTGTATACCATATATACATCCCCACCATCCAGTTGACCCTTATTCTTCCAAGAAAAAAAAACTCTCTTCTGTTAAGAAAAAAATAAACCCCCTTCTTCCATATATGAATAACTGATACCTCCCCAATGTGCAAAGATAGCCTGTGGCTAGTGGCTTTTGCAATTAGGCTAGTGCATTATGTCCTTAACTTGCGTGATGGGCAACTGAAGTTTTTTGGGGAATTATTCAAATTACATAATTACTGTAACACAAACTGAAAATTCCCAGTAAATTCAAGTGGATCGAGAGCTGTGATCTGTGAAATCTGCAAAAACTACATGTAGTATAATATTACATTTCATGACAGACTAGATGTTGTGTGATCTGCACAATCTTCAGGTAAAAGCAATAAAAATACCTTAAGAATATTGCCCTTAAGCTTTTGTTAAATAAATCAATAAAAGTAATTAATTGACGAATGGTAGAATTGTGTATTAAGTAAAAATAAATTACTTCTTGTCAAAAAAAATTTTCAGGCAAGTCAAATGGACTTTTGGGCTTGATTTGATGCACGCTATAGCTTGCTTGAAGGGCAAGCTGTAAAACTAACTTTCTTTGCACCGCAGCGGGGGTGAGAGGGTGGGTAGGGGGGTTGAGGTACTCCAAATTTCAAGTGATGGAGATGATCAAAGGATTGTTTTGTGTTTGGAAATTCCAGTTACAGGTTGGGTAGGAAAATTTGGCAAGTATCGATTTGGGTGGCCTGATTTAAGTAGAGTTTTTTCTTGAGTGTTGTTTGAATGACTCAGACATGGGAGAGAGAACTTAAGATGGTGCAATGAATAAATAAGCTCAAACATTCAATTTCTATTGCTTTTATTGTTTGTGAAGCCCTAGGAATTTTTTTTTTTTTTTTGGGGTTATTTGATCATCTGTCACAGGAAATTGTTGGATTACCTGTTTTTTCGGGTTTTTGATTTTTTGCCCCCCGGGATCATCTGTCAAAAATATGGATCCCTGTTCATTTATGTTTCAGTTCAAGTTCATTTAAGTTTCAGTTCAAGCTTTTGTAGCTTGTTCATAAGTTGGTGGAGGGGATTCTGGAATGTCTCCAACCTCCATATATGAAGGGGGCCCACTCTTGGCAATAGCATCAAGTGGTAGACTGGTTGAGTGTTCGATCTGTGTCTGATTTGGGGTTATTTGTAATGTTGCAGGTCTTTCAACCGGTCTTTCAATATTCCTTCTTTCCTGTGCATTAGTCGTCCCAGTTGAAAGAGCATTGCTGGGCTGTGTAGCCGTTTCCCTACGAACATTCTGTCCCATGCTTCGTCGTCGTAGGCATGCACAAATCAAACAGAAAGCTATCACTGCAAGTGTAATCAAAATGTACTTAACGGCACCAGAATCCACGTCTCCGACATTGTCTCCACTGTCTCCGACATTGTCTCCACTGTCCTCTGTTGGAGGCCACTTGATGCAATGGTTTTGATCCATGTCTTCATTGTAAGTGCAAATGTATCCGCTATGAGAACCATACATCTGTTGACAATGATCATTACTGAAAGCACACTGTCGTACAGCGAAATTCATAGCTGCTAGAAGTATCGCATCTCTTTTCTGGTAAACAATCGGCTTGGGTGCGACAAACACCAGCACCACAAATTCGCGAAACACAAAGCCCCATTTCTAGCTTTTTTCCAGTTTCTGTGTATTTACAGCACCATTGCCCGCAATCATCGTCCCAATCACACGTCAAAGAAAAACTCAAGAAAAGCAAACCAGCAAAAAGACACAGAATAACAGACGTAACCTCCATGTTTTGTGTGTTTCCGCTGGTCACGCAACGTATCGGTATATTACGAGGGAGGAGAGGTTCCAAAGCTTTTTGCGGGGAGGTGGTCAAAACTGAAGGGCGTATTGACGAGGGCGTGTTAGGGTAAAAGTTTGGCAAGCGACACGGCCTTGAAACAGGGACATACGTTTCGAGTCTAGAAAGGACATAAAGATGAGTAAATACCGACAGGGACATGGCCTACTGTTCAAAAGGCGAGACACCGGGTTCGCCACACCTTGAAAGTCCTTGAATTTTAAAATAAAAATTCAAGGCCTTGAAAGTCCTTGAAAAATGCAGTCGTCGTTGGAAATTCCTTGAATTTCAATGCTAACTCTAAAGTTGAAGTAGAACTTCAAAGAGGAAGGAGCAAACACAAAGACCTTCGGGATGAAATTACTCATGTTGAGGAAGAACTAAATAAGACATAGACTCGAGGCTCGTTTTTTGCACTGAATGGAGTCCTTCAAAAATCAATGCTAACTCTAAAGTTGAAGTAGAACATCAAAGAGGAAGGAGCAAACACAAAGACCTTCGGGATAAAATTGCTCATGTTGTGGAAGAACTAAATAAGACATAGACTCGAGGCTCGTTTTTTGCACTGGATGGAGTCCTTCAAAAATGGGAAATGTGTACTTAAAAGCCCTTGAAAAGTCCTTGAAGACGACCGTTTTGTTATTGTACCTCTCGGAGGGTCGAAAATTGAACCCAGACCCGAATTTTTGGCGGTAAAATATGCAACCCGCTGAGGCCCGGGTCAGACGCCGAACTTTTTATGAGCCGAACCTAATCCGAATTAAGGCCGACCCAAATTATTTAGACCGGCTGAATTGATTCAGACGCCGATCTTAATTCTTACAAAATACGTTATAGAACTTATGCTTTTGGTTCGGAACATGAAAAGGTCGGTGTCTGAATCAAAGCCGTTCCAAAGTTCATCCAAAGTCGAAATTCCCGTTCGGGCCAGGCGGGAAGGACGGCTGAGCCGTTCCAAATTGAACCAGGTGTTCCTAATTGATTCAGACGCCGAACTTTTTATGTACTTAATTCAATGTATTAGGTTCGGCTCAGGAAAAGTTCAGCGTCTGAACCGGGCCTTACACTGGCCGGTGTTTTTTAAAGAAATAATGAAACAAGATTTGCTGTTTTACTTTGTAAGCTTTGTAAGAAGAGGAAAATTGAACACAGAAAAACCAAAATGGGACAAGGGAAAAGAGATGGCCTGAAAAGAGAGCGAGGGTACGGACGACGAAAATTGGAAAGGGTAGGTCATGATCAAATCGTAGATTACTTTAATAATTAAGCTTAACTTAAGCCTGGTTAAAAATAAGGCAACGCGGTTTCGAACAAGTGTGTGCATGCTTTGATTCGCGATAATAATCTGCGCTTCTATATGATTTTTTTCTTAACATATTCTCTCTGTAAATACAGATACATTTTATGTACATGTTCTCTATATAAGCCAGTTAATAGACCATTCCAGCATTCCTATGAACATTAAGGCCCCAAATCGACACTTGGGTTGATAAAATACCGTGATTTGTAGGAATACAAAAAGCGGCATAGGTCTGTTATGTTCTGCACACTTGCTTTTCTATGACTGACACTATAAATCATGTCATATTCCCCCTCCACCACCCAAAAAATGATCCCCAGGAGCAATGGCAGTGGAGAAGGAATCCCAATTTGAGATCTCCTGAGTCTCTTTGGTTATATTCTTTCTATGATTTTTCACACCAGTGGTCAACCATGAGGGAATGATCCAATTGGTTTGATATGGACTTTTAATAATTTCATTTTTAAAATGCAAAGGGAACAGACTACATACATTGTTAATCCGGCAAGTATCTCTAATTAATATTTTTGATTGGTGTAACTATTCATCAGTAGGATGCCTAAAACATGTGCAATGTCACAGCCATACGTTAAAAAGTCAGGAAGTTAGACTTTTTGTACAATGTAACCTCGATTTAATGAACCTCTTTATGATGAAGTACTCGGTATAGCAAACGATTAATAGCAAAGTATATGGAAAAGAACCTCAATATAACAAAACCTCTGTATAGCGAACAAATTTTGTCAGTCCCTCAGTGGCTCTTGATTACATAGATAGAGTTTACACTGTTTATGATCAACAACACGACTGCAAAATCTTCACTAAGGACTTTACTCTTCAAGCCAGTACCAAAAGGGACACACTCAAGTGTCCACATTGCAGAGGTGTCCCTAATTTAGAGGTACAGGGATAGTATGAGTTTTACAGCTGTAGGTTGGGTCCCAGGTTTCAGAGCAGCAGGCCAAGCTTTCATTCCCTACCGGCTCCCAACAGACCATCAATCAAGGCCTTAAATTAACGAACATCTAGGGTTTGAATTAATTTGTTTTCAAGGATAAAATAAGCTATTTAGCAGCATTGTAATTGAAATTGTGATTGTAAGTAACAACAGGGCGGTGTCTTTCATGGGTCCCGTTTGGCACAGTGTTATAGTGTCACAGTAATATTAAAGTGTGGTGGAACAGTAGAACAATGTCACAGTGATACGTAGGACATCAGAGGTGGAACAGGGGAATGGTGGTCAGGTACAGTGTCGAAGTGAAAGTTAAGTCTGGTGGAACTGTGGCATAGTGTCACAATGATAGTAAAGTTTGTTGGAACAGTGGGAGAGTGGCAGTGTCACAGTACAGAAACATGTGTGACAGTTACACATTGTCTTAGTGTTAGTAAAATTTGCAGGAACAGTGACATAGGAGTAGTTAAGTGTATCGGTGCTGAGCGGAACAGTGGCATAGTGGTACTAAAATGTGGTGGAACAATGGCATAGTAATATTATAGTTCAGTGGAATGGCGGCACAGTTGTTAGTAGTGTGGTCGAACTGATGAACAGTGGAACAGCGATGGCAGAGTGTGGTAGAAAAGTGGCTCAGTGATGTAATTTAGGCGATTCCTAGGAAATAATTGTCGACGAAGGACTTCCCAGTCCACCTCACGCATGCGCATGGCAAAGGGAAATAGAGATAGATAAGCGTTTTAGAAGATACGTGTACCTTTCAAAGCAAACTACTGCGCAAGTGTGGTATTACTGAGCTAAAATTTGTCTTTGAAGAATGAAGTGCTTGTGGACTGTTCACTTTCCCGGTGATTGTTCAGGAGTTGTAAGAAATACAAGATTCTTCATCTTTGAAGAATTGACCAACCCTTTTTCTTTCGTGTATACTGAAGATGAAGGCGCTTAGACTCACCGAATTAGCCTGCATGCAAAATTCTACTCTTTTCTTTTCTATTTGCAGTCGATGTCTGCTCGCAGGCTAAACTAAAAAAGCCATAATCTATTACAAGGAACCTTTACATAGGAGTGTTCAGCCCACTTATATTCTTTTGTCACTCAAAATCGTATAGGTAATAAGTCATAACCTGATAAACTCCTTAACTAAATACTTCGACCCCCTTAAACTAATATTTCAGTTTCTCGTAATATACATTATATCGATACATCCTGAGTGTTCATGCCTCGCTCTTTGAGAACAGTTTTCCTAGTAGTACGGCTTTATGAACTGTTCCGTTGTGAAAGCAGTAATTGTCGTTCTATGACAGTCTGGTTACTTAAGTCCTTTATTTTGCATAGCAAGTATATATCTGAGTAACGACTTCTGATTGGCCAATCCCGATGCCTTTGAGCCTCGACATTGGGCTAGCTGTGTAGAGGGTAGCTTTGGATCGCATTTCACGGGATGATAAACATGTATAATACCAGGATCGGGGGCGCGAAACACATCAATGTCGTTATGTTTGACAAATTTCTCATACAAGTCCACGTCTTCCCATCCCCAGCCTTGGATGCTTGTGTTAAACCCTCCAACTGCTTGAAGATCTCGACCGTACAAACAAACGGGTCCGTATGAGTAGGTCCTCCAAATTCCTGCGTCTGCATTAATTGTGTAGTACGATTCAGGTCTGTTGTTGTGGATATCTGATAAATCAGGATCAAACTGACTGAACATTATGGGGAAATAGACTTGTTGCCCAAGCACCGTGTTAATGCGACAGCGGTCCAAAAACTCCTTGCTGAATACCAAATCAACGTCACACAGGAAAAACAAATCTGTCTTGTTTAATTTAGCTGCCGCCAAAGACAGGGCTACCCCTCGGGAAAAGTTGCCTGCAACGTCAATCCAAATTAGGTCTGCCAGAGGGTACTTGTACTGGTATTCCTTCAAGACGGCTTTGTGCTCGCGAGGAGAAAAAAATGATGACGAATACGCGATTACAAGCTTTACTCTCAGAATTTGCTTGAGACAAACCTCTTCAAAATTCTTCATGAAGCGACGAAACGTTTCTAACCGCCCTTCCAAGGGGACAAGGAAGTGCACAAAGGGTAAAGTGTTGTCGAGGGATTTGGCGTCGTAAACGAGTTTTCCAAATGGGAGTTGGAAGTAGAACCTTCTTCTTTGTAGGTTAGAAATTTGTTTAGTTTTTCCTGTTTCTGTATAAAGGATTTTCTTTTCTGATCTTACAGTTGAATGCATGACGTATTGAACACCGTATATGGGGAGAGCACGCCTGTAACCATAGTTTATTTTCAGAATATTTATATTTTCAGCAAATCGAGTCCTTGCTTCTTCTTTCAGTATTTCCGTTTCTCTTTCCAATAATTTTTTAGACTCAATCTTTAGTGCGCCGCGAATACCAGTTCCAGGGGACATTAACATCGTATCAGAGAAGAATGAATTCGGAGTGAATATGCTCCATTGTTCAGTGTTATTTCTCTTCAGCTGATGATGAAAGTCTTGTTCATCCCGATGATAATATTTTTCTCGTGTAAGAAGCCAATTTCCTTCTTCTTGAATCAGACTGTCAGTTCGTCTCAGAACTCTTTGCAGCTTAAGAGCTTCATATTGGAGATCTTGAATTCGCTGGTTCATGAAGTGCACGTGCAGACGGCGCATGTAGGCTGGTTGTTTAATGGGATGGAGCGTGATGGCATCGT